GACGTATATAAACAAGCAGATTCACAGTAAAATAAATTAGAAACACCTAAATGTCCTTGAATATAAGAAGGCTTAAATTATGTGTGGCATATCAACACAGTAAGTATAGAATTACCAAAATTAAGGGAAATTATGTATCAAAATGGAAAGATTCCCAAGATACTTTTTTTTTTTTTTGGTGTTGGTCTTGGGGCTTGAGCTCAGGGTCTGGGGTGCTGTCCTTGATCTTTTGTGCTCAAGACTAGCACTCTACCTCTTGAGCCACAGTTCCCCGTTGGCTTTTTTTGGTGGCTAATTGGAGAAGAGAGTCTCATAGATTTTCCTGTTTGGGCTGGCTCTCAACTATGATCCTCAGATCTCAGCCTCCAGAGGAGCTAGGATGACAGGCATGAGCCACCAGCACTTGGCTCCCAAGACATATTTTTTTTTTGGGGTCCGGTTGTGGGGCCTGAACTCTGGGCCTGGGTGCTGTCCCTCAGCTCTTCAGCTCAAGGCTAGCACTCTACCACTTGAGCCACAGCGCCACTTCCGGCTTTTTTCTTTTTGCTTATGTGGTGCTGAGGAATCGAACCCAGGGCCTTAGGCATGCAAGGCAAGCGCTCTACCACTGAGCCATCTTCCCAGCCCCTCCCAAGACATTTTTAAGAGAACAGAGTCCAATGTATAAACGAGAGAGAGAGAGAGAAAAGATAATGCATGTATCTTCATGCCCGCAAAAAGAAGTCTATAAGGATAACCAAAGCCAGGATCAATGGTCATCCCTTTAGAAGGTCTGGGAAGAATGGCGGAGTGCAGTGGAGTAGTATGCACAGAAGACATTAGAGAAGGATCCTGTACTGTTCTGAATTTCTTCAGGATTCCGAGGAGTCACTGGATGGAGGAATCATTGACAGCAGACAGCCTCTGCCTGCTTTCCAGCCTGGTCTACATCAGCTCACCCCCATCACTCTCTCTCCATGTTCCTGCCACACATTCTGGCTCCTCAGAAAGGCTATTTATTCCCTTCTACCTGCCTTCTTAGTGTTCATGTCTGTTCCTTTTGTCTGGATGGAATACTGCTCCCTTATGCGTCACCTAGTAAATCCATGCTTAGCTGACTGAGGCCATCTTAAAGATCCTTTTCCTCAGGGAAACATTTCTTACTTTACAAACTAGATCAATACTTACATTTTGGGCACACACACACACACACAACAACCTGCGCTTCTCCTTCTAGAACTTAGCTGTGATGAGGTAACTGTCTAATTCTACATGGACACGTACACCTCCGCCATCCTCTTCAGACTACAAGGTCCCAGTGTTCCAAAGCAACATCAGGTGCTTTCACGACAGTGTTGTCACACTTAATGTAGCATGCGACTGGGAAGCAGGCCTTTTGATAACAGCTGAGTGAATGATGACTGTTCCAGATGTCACTACCTAGGAAACCAACACCTAGGCAAACAAGGACAATGCAGCATCACTGGTGTTCAAGGCAGTAGTTTATAACGGTGTTCTCACCTAAGGGTAACGGACCCTTTCCAAGACAACAGCTGGCAATATCTGACATCATTTGCCAACAATTCTGATTGTCACAACTCTGTGTGTGGGGAGTACTACTAATGTCTAATAAGTAGACGTCAGGTATGCTGTACTAAAGATCCTGTGCTACACAGGCTAACCCTCTACAAGAGTTTTGTGGCTTTTAGTGTGGGGGTGGGGGGTAAAGGAGGGTCCTGAGGCTTGAACTCAGTGCCTGAACACTGTCTCTGGCTTTTTTGCTCAAGGCTAGCACTGTATCACTTGAGCCATAGATCCATTTCTGACGTTTGTTGTTTAAATGGAGGTAAAAGTTGCACAGACTTTCCTTCCCAGGCTGGCTTCAAACCTCTATCCTCAAATTTCAGCTTCCTGAGTGGTTAAGATTACAGGTGTGAACCACTGGCACCCAGCAAAGTTGTGTTTTAAAATGCCAATTGTGTGTCATCGTCATTGTCGGCAATGAAAAACTCTGATTTAGAGGATGGTAATACTCAGGAGTGGCCAAGGGCCAAACGTGATGGTGCACACCTATCATTCCAGCTATGAGGAAGGTAATAGCCAAAAGCATGAGATCTTATCTGAAAAATAAGGCAAAAAAGGGCTGGTATGTATGTCTCAAGTAGTAGAGAACTTGAAAGTTCAACCCCTTGAGTTGAAACCCTATTACGGTCAAAAGTAAAAAGGGGAGTGGGAGTGGTCAATTTTACTATGGGCACTTGTGGGTTGTTTGTTTTAAGAAGGAAAAATGGGAGGTGTCATAAAAAGCTTCAGAGGAAATAAAGCTTTAGTTGCTTGCTAAAAGGTGGCAGGGGCCAGACTACTGAGTTTGAAGCAGGGGTGGCTCCTGCCTGTAAGTCTAGCTACTCAAGAGACTGAGATCTGCCAGGCGCTGGTGGCTCACGGCTGTAATCCTAGCTACTCAGGAGGCTGAGATCTGAGGATCGCAGTTCAAAGCCAGCCCAGGCAGGAGAGACCATGAGACTCCTATCTCCAATAAACCACCAGAAAACCGGAAGTGGCGCTGTGGCTCAAGTGGTAGAACGCTCGCCTTGAGCTGAAGAGCTGAGGGACAGCGCCCAGGCCCAGAGTTCAAGCCCCACGACCGACCAAAAAAAAAAAAAAAAAAGAGACTGAGATCTGAGGACTGTGGTTCAAAGCCAGCCCAGGCAAACAAATCTATGAGACTCTTATCTTCAATTAATTATCCTTCCCTGCCCCCTCCCACCAAAAAAAAAGCCATAAGTGGAGCTGTGGCTCAAGTAGTAGTGGAATGCTAGCTTTAAGGACAAAAGCTCAGGGAAGTACCCAGGCCTTGAGTTCAAGCCACAGGACTGGTACGTGCACGCGCGCGTGCACGCGCACACACACGCGCACACACACACACACACACACACAGTTATGGTTTAAAGTTATTCTCTTGAAGTTTTCCAAACTCCACAAGTCCCTAGCAATTTTACTCCCTTCTTTTGGCAGTACTGGGGTTTTAACTCAAGGTCCTATGCTTAGCTAACTAAGAGCTCTACCACTTGAGCCACACTTCCAGCCCACCTTTATTCTCTTCTAGATCTTTCTTTTAGGACTGTTGGTTTCAGCAAAACATGAAGACCAAATCAATCCAGACCATAAAATCAGAAAACTCCTTCACTCTCCAGCAAGTGCACTTGCATTTTAAAACATGTAAATCTTACAAGTACAAATAAATCATTACTTTCTTAATGCTCAGGGTGTTAGCAGATAAAGCTCATTTTTGAGCCCAAAAATAGCCATCAAGGCCAAGTTGGCCCTGATAGATTTCTCCAAAGCTCTATTAAAGCAAGAAAGAAAAGACAGAGAAAAAGCAGTTCTAAGATTGTATATAAAACATTCAAGTTCTTTTCTTTTTCCCTCCACAAGTGTCTCATGATACAAGTTCTCCCAACAGACATTTCAAGATTCATTTGGAAGTTGTGTGTGTGTGTGTGTGTGTGTATTAAGACTATAGTGTGGATTATAAAGGCTTTCATTAGAAGTCATGGAGACCACGAAAGAAACTGAGATCATTTTTTAACAGCACCACTAGGGAACAAACCTGGTGTTTTCCTGAAACACAAGCCTGCTGCCGGCTGTGCTGGAGGCCCAGGCGCTGACCTAGTATGGCAATTCTTAGGGTCTTGGAGCTGGGTGCTGTGCTGACAAGAAATTGAGGCCTGACACTAAGACAGAACAAAGAGAAATGCCTAGCACCAAAGGTTGGGAAATGTGTGTGTGTGTGTGTGTGTGATGTGTTGTGCCTAAATGAAAATCTGTAGGAGGAACAGTTCGGCATCTTTGGAAAGGCATGACAAATCCTCCCGTCTCCTGCTTACACAGTAAGATTGACTCGGTGATCTGCGATCATTTCCTAATAAGAAAATACCGTATCATTTACCTAGACAGTTCGTGCCTCCACTCCCCCCTTCCCCGCCCCCATCTCTCCATTTTCACATCGTTATTAAACGCGGGATACCATTTCTTTAGGCTTTAGAGCCTAGTGGAAATAATGAACACCACACAGAGTTCTGATTCAATATCAACTCCAAGCCCGGCCAGCTGGTTTCCATCGAGACGTCCCCGAGGAGAACGCCCCCTCGGAGGCGGTGGCCTGGTGGTGGTGGTGGTGGTGGTGGTGATGGGGAGGGGGGGTGGGCCGGAGGGTTGGGGAGGGAAGAGGGGGGAGACCCAAGCAGACATTTAGAGCACAGCAGCGATCAGAGCAAGTACAGGGTAAGGGAAGGGGGTAGGGGATGGGGGAAGAGACGGGTGTCCACCAGGCCTCAGTTTACCTTTGTTTCAGGTCCCAACCCCTTTCCTTCTCTTCTTCCCCCCCTCACCCCCCCTCTACTCCACACCCAACCCCACCTCACAGCCAGTGACACATCCTTCTTTGGCCAAGTAGTCGTGGGGCCGAGGCTGGGCCCGGGTGGGGGTGGGGGTGGGGGGAGGGGGAAAGGGGGGGGCGGGGAAGGAAAATAAAGCCTCAGCGCCTCACTGAGACGTGACTCTCAGTTCTTCCAGAACCTTGGCATTTGCTTTTCGTGCCAAGCTTGCCAGTGCACAAGTTGCCCGGGACTCTGCGTGTGCGTGTGCGTGTGTGTGTGTGTGTGTGTGTGTGTGCGGGGGGGGGGGAGAGCTAGGCCTGGGAACCCCAAGAAGTGGGAGGCGCCCCGGCCTCCTCCTCCATAGGAGCCCCCCGGACTGGCGTTCTCCACACACACTCGCCCCCCACCCCCCCCACCTCCATTCACCCCTTCCCGGACTATCCCGGGGGTGGGGATGTGGAGTTGGGGGGGGTCCCCCACCACTCCCCACGCTACCGGCCCCACAGGCCAGGCCAGTCCCCGCCCTCCCACCCCGCTCCCGCCTCCGTCCCCCGGACACCTCAGGCGGGACTCCCCCCCACCCTCTACCACAACAAGGGGGGGCCGGGGGCTCCGAAGGCTGCAGGCCGCGCGCGCACCTACCTCAGAGCTCCTCCTCTGACGGCCGCCGCGGTTCCCCGCCGCGCGCGCACACGGCCTCCGGGCTAGGGAACGCCACCGACGCGGCGCCCGCGTGAGCCACCCGAGGCCCCAACGCGCCCCGCCCGCCGCCGCCGCCGCTCAGCCACTGCTGCTGCTGCTGCTGCTGCTGCTGCTGCAGCCGGTCGTCGCCCGCCCGCTGCCGCCGCCGCCGCCGCCCCTCAGTCCCGCCCTCCGCTCCGGCCTGGGTGCCCCGCCCCCTGCGCTAGACCACACCCCCTCCAGACTCCGCCCTCCTTCTACGTACATCGAAGCTCCGCCCTCCTTAGGCTCTCTTCCCATCACCACCACCTCCGCCCTCTAGGCCCCGCCCCTTCGCTCGCCAGGCCCCGCCCCTCACGTTCCCCGAGGCGGGAAAAGGACGGCGGCGAGGGTCGCTGAAAGAACCGCCCTGGGTTCGCACGCACGCGTCGCCTGCGCCACTGTGTGGGGATGGCGTTGGCTCCACGGGGCCTGGAGGAGGGCCGCGACGACGCTCCAGGTGAAGACTGCTCGGTGGAGTCTCCCTTGCGTGAATATGTCCGTGCCCTATCCTTGGTCGTCCTCGAATACGGCTAGGCCTCTCTCGGGGGAGGGAGGGGCGGGAGTGGGCCTACCTCTGTCCGGGCCCGGTGCCCCTGGCTCCCACCTGGCCTCACATCCTAAGCTACTCAGGAAACAAACGTGAGACCTTGAGGTTCGAGGTTCGAAACCAGCCCAGACGTCTGTGAGACCGTCTATCCACCAACCGACCAGCAAAAGACCGGAAGTGGCGCTGTGGCTCAGGTAGTAGAGCGCCTGACTGGAATCAGGGTCCCATGCCCTGAGTTCAAGCGCACGTGTGAGTGCACACACACACACACACACACACACCTGAGTGTTTCCTCTAAACCAATCATTAAGGTTTACAAAGCCTTGGAAAGAAAAAAAAATTGTATTTCCCACTCCACCTTGCTTTTCCATTTTATATTTGCTTATTCTATTGCCAGAGCTGGGGCTTGAACTCAGGGCCTGGGCACTGTCCCTGAGCTGCTTTTGCTCAAGGTTTAGCGCTCTACCACTTCTGGTGTAAGTGGTACTGAGGAATTAGAACCCAGGGCTTTATGCATGCTAGGCAAACACTCTAACACTAAGTCACCTTCCCAGTCCTATTTGTTTGTGTTTTTTTTTTTTTTTTTTTTTGTGCCCCTCTTCCTGAAGCTTGATCTCAAGGACTGGGTGCTGTTCCTGAGCTGCTTTTGCTTACGGCTAGAACTCTACCATTTGAACCATAGCTCCACTTTCAGCTTTTTTTATTATTATTATTTAAATTTTGGTAGTTTTAGTGGAGATAAGAGTCTCACAGACTTTTCTGCCTGGGCTGGATTCAAACCGAGATCCTCAGATCTCAGCCTCCAGAGTAGCTAGGATTACAGATGCGAGCCATCAAAGCCCAGCTTGCTTTTCCATTTTAAAAGCCTTATCTTATCTGAGCTAGAGCAAGCTGAGAGAAAGGGCTGGGCAGGACCAAGGACTTTGCAAAGGTCACAGTTCATACTTGAAAGAAAGGGCAGTACACAGTGAACCATGGAACAAGTTCAATGCTGCTGACCCCCTCAACCTGAATTCTTGGTTTGTCTTGACAGCTTTATAACCTGCTTTTTTTTTTATTAGACTTTGTTGCCATATGTTTGTACAGAATATAAGGTGAATGTCTAAAGGATACAATTCTGGCTTGGAAATTTGATTTAGTCCAGTGGAATCAGTTCCTGGGTCATGAGTGCCTTGTGAATTCAGCCAATTCACAACTACTTTGTAAACAATATAAAAAAAAGCAAGGCCTAGTCTTTGCTCTTAAGGGGCATATGGTCAAATACTGGAGAAATAGTTGAAAATACAAGTGTTTTAATTTATTATGATGATAGAGAAATAGCTGAGCAAATTAATTTTATGGGGTAAGGAGAATATAGGGTCATCTTCTTACAGCATTTTTTTAAATTATGAAAAACATCTCTGAAAAATAAAATATCTTGTGAAAAGCATAAAATATTAACTGCAGAAATAGAATATTAATGAACTACTATGCAGGTATCATTCAGCTTTAACTATTACCATCTCATGGCCAATTTCTTTCATCTATATCCTTATCTTCTTTATCTTTTCCTGAAAAACAAAACAAACATGCAGCACTTTTTTACCTATAAATATTTCACTGTGCATCACTGACTAGACTTTATCTCTCACTTGTACGAGAACTGATTGTACGCACAGATCTTAAAAGTTCTGCAGGTGATAGATTTAAACCAAACCATATCACTAACCATATTTAATGTAAATTGACTAAACACTCCACATTTCAAATCAAAATCACAAGTCTAAATATAGTATTTCAGACTCCCATCTGTCAAAAAAACAGCATAATAACTATAGTAGGATATTTAAAAGGCTTGATTATTGTTGTTGTTGTTGTCTGCAAGTTAAGAAGATTTGTATGTATGTGCATATGTGAGAACCTGCGTGGAAGAAGGTAATCTTTCACCATTTTGTCATCTATGTTTTCTAATGTATGAGGCAAGTTTTTGCACATGGAAAGGTAAAACCACTTAGAAGCCAGGTGCTGATGGCTCATGCCTGTGTTCCTAGCTATTTTGGAGGCTGAGTCCTGAGGATTGTAGTTCAAAGCCAAGCCCATGCACATAAATTCCTGAATTTTTTTTTTTTGGTCAGCCAAGGGGCTTGAACTCTGGCCTGGTCACTGTCCTGAGCTCGTCAGCTCAAGGCGAGCGCTCTACCACTTGAGCCACATTGCCACTTCCGATTTTTCCGGTGGTTCACTGGAGATAAGAGTCTCACGGACTTTCCTGGCCTGGCTGGCTTTGAACTGTGATCCTCAGATCTTAGCCTCCTGAGTAGCTAGGATTACAGGCATGAGCCACCGGTGCCTGGCTTCCTGAGATTCTTATTTTCAGTTAACCAGCAAAAAGCCAAAATGGGAGGTGCAGCTCAAGTATAGAGTACTACTGGCCTTGAGCAAAAAAATCAACAGAGAACACAAGGTCCTAAGTTCAAGTCTCAGGATGAACACAAATAGAAGCAAACAATAAAAACGTACATAGAGGGGCTGGGAATATGGCTTAGTGGTAGCATGCTTGCCTACCATGCATGAGACCCTGGGTTTGATTTCTCAGTGCCACAAAAGCAAAGTTAAAAAAAAATCTACATAAAGCTGCCTTTGCTTAATTAATTTCAAATTTTATGTGAGGTACTTAGTTTTAAAATATATTTTCACTAGGCTTTTAAGCTAAACCTTAGTATATTTTTATAATCTTCTGTTACAGTTTAAAGTTAGCTTATAAATTCTCTAAACATTTGTACCCTTGATAAAAATTTTAGATTTCCAACCACAACTGAACGTGTATCTGATTCCCCAAAGCAATTCAAGTACTCAACAAACAAGCTTACAAATCTAATAAACCAATATTCCTAAGCTCTGAAACTCTTATTTACAAACTTAATAACTCAGAAGTTATAGATTTTGTACCTCAGAATCTCTGCACATTCAAACACAGCTTACAAATGTAATCAATCCAACTTTTGCACATCTGAAATTTAAATCTCCAATCTACCGTCAATTAAATTCATTTAAACATTTCAAATGAAAATCACAAGAATCAATCCAACATTTCAAATACTCCATCTGTCAAACCAAATACATCCAAATTGCAAAGATGATGAAAAAATAACTTATTCTTGAGCTCAACAAACCAAGTGTAAAGCTTAAGGTTTCAATCATTTCACTCTTATTCGCTGTCTGGACATGGTTGGCTTATAGGAAACTAGTTAAAGAAGAGAATTATAAATGATATCTCATACATAAATTAAAAGATTATAATTTGAATATACATTTACTTGCCCTGCATACCCTTTCTTCATGTATGAGTGTTAATTAGAATTTCAAGTATCTTCACTGCATTCTTTTTTTCTTATTTTTGCAAGTCCTGGGGCTTGAACTTAGGGCCTGGGCACTGTCCGTGAGCTTGTTTTAGTTCAAGGCTAACACTACCACTTGAACCACAGTGCCACTTCTGGCTTTTTCTTTGTATGTGGTATTGAGGAATTGAACCCAGGGCTTCATGCATGCTAGGCAAGCACTCTACCACGAAGCTGCCTTCCCAGTCCCACATAAACCATTCTTGTGATGCAAATTCTGTAACTTCCAGTTTGAATTATGTCAAAATAAAACAAAAATAGAACAAAAATTCTGAACTACTACAAATCTACAAATGTAGATGGATTATTCCTTTCCTTGCAATCTTTCATAGCTATTTTGTTTATTTATTTCTTCTATGAGTGTGTGTGTGTGTGTGTGTGTGTGTGTGTGTGTGTGTGTGTGTGTGCTGTTTGAGATTGAACCAAGGGCCTATCATAGGATAGGTAAATGGATTTATGTATGTATGTATGTATGTATATATGTATGTACTGTTGATCCTGGGCCTTGAACATTGGGCCTAGGCATTGTCCCTAAGATTTCTTTTGCTGAAGGCTAGTCTTCTACCATTTGAGCCATAACTCTTTCTGGCTTATGTTGTGTGTATGGGGGCGGGGGGAGAGCAGAGGGTTAGTTTATCGGAGATAAGAGTCCTGTGGACTTTCCTGTGTGGGCTGGCTTTGAACTGTGATCTTCATTCAGAGCTCAGCCTCCAGGATTAAAGGTGTGAGTTACTGGTGCCTGTCTGGCAAATGCCTTTTAAATTTATGTTTTTATTGAGACATAGTACAAGTCTATCTTTATGGAATTCAGTACTATAATTCAATTCATGTACAGAACACAAAGGTTTTTTTTGTATGGTTATATCAATTGTAGAGCATTTCATCACTCTGAAAAGGAACTCCAAACTCACTAAGTTATCAAATTAAATCAGGGTAATCAACTCCTCTATCTCTTCAAACGTTAATCATTTTTATGTGTTGGAAACTTTCATACTTCTGGTTATTTTGAAATACAACATACTTTGTATTTTGAAATATAGCCTATGCT